TATATATATATATATATCTTTATTTGCTTCCAAAGGAAGTTTGCAACTTCCCCCTCAAACTGGTAGACACACAGCTGCAGTGAAATCAACTTTCCAGTCTTTGTTACCAGACCCATGGATGTGCTCCAAGCCCCGGTCCACCCACTGCAATTTTCAGAAAGGTCTAGTGATTTTACAGCTGTTTTCTGTTGTTTCGCACAACAAATAGTTATTTAATTGTTCTCTCATTTTGCCACTTACATGAGACTACCATTACAGGCCAACTGACAAACCTCATCTGGAAAACAAAGCAAAGCAGAGATTCTGCCTTCAGATGCACAATCAGCTGGAATATTCATTAGTTGCTTTCATGGTGTAAAGTTCATCATCACACCAAGTCAAATGCTTCTCTCAACCTGTTATTAGCTGAGTGAGTCAATGCACAGGGGTCTGGACAGATCCACATCAGAAGACTGAGGAATTGTAGCAGTTTGTTCTAAGAGTTGCCCCAATGCAATTACTCACTAGACTTTAAAATAGCTGTAGGTGCTCTGTTGGCTGACTCGCAAACACAACCAGCTGCCCTTGGATTTGTTTGCTTTTAGCCCCCTAAGGACAGTTGGGAAATTTTCTGCCCTAAGCTAGAAAACTCACTTCTGAAAAAATTCAATCAATCCCTACGGGGGACTGAGATCAAGTCTTGCAAAAAACAGCAATGTCTTCCACATCTCTCCCACAGGAAAGAAAGAAGAACTGACAGACTTTGAGTTCGCTATCTTGGAAATGTGTGAGATGCAGGACAACAGGGAACAACACCAGGAAACTGTCCTGGCTTTTCATGTGACCAAGGAGCACAAGCGTTTTTCAAGAGTTGGAAAGTTCTCCTTCAGCACAAGCAGCCAGCTTTTCTCACTCCTCACCTCAATTAGCAATAAATTAATATCGTACAGCACGAGATTAGGGAAACATACCCATCTCGAGCTCCTCATCGTCCGTCTTTTCCTTCTTGCCTTCCTCATCAGCTCTTTGATGCTCTTCCGTCTTGGGATCAGGTGGCTGCGGGCTGCCGTTCTGCGTCTCTTGCCCAGGCCTGGGATCAAAATGAAGGCTTTTTGGGTAACTGCGCGCTTGTTCTTCATCCATCTGGGCATTCACTTTGTTCACTATCTCTTCCCAGCTGCAACAAGGGCATGAAACAAAAAAGAACCACCTCCCCGCCTCAGTATATCAAGGGATTTTTCACAGTGCTATTTCATAATGGCAAGTAGAGGAAAGAAAAAAAACAAAACCATGCAGAAGTTTGTCATAATTTAACGTTTTGGCAGAACTAGCAGATTGCATTAGTTACCATTATATCTGCTTGAAACAGAATATCTGATATGTCACAAAATAAGTTATGCTTTATAAACACAATTCATTGTAGGACAGCTCCAATTCATACGATACGATAGCATATCCGCAGAGCGATAAACTCTAAATTCTAAACAAATGCTTACGCATGCCTCACACGCACCCAAATACACAAGTCTAAGTTTTTGAAAAAAACATCTGAAACTTAAGTCCTCTTTATTTTTCCAACTTAAGTCAAAATGAAGATGATACTAAAGTAAAATTGTCGAAATTTGGCCTATAAGGAAAAAAAAAAAAATCACAAAAAAAAACCCCAATGCTTTGGAAATAAACAGGGTAGCTGCAATACAAAATTGACAGTTTCCGTTGTCTGTTTTTGTTTTTTTTTCTCAAGCTACAAGCTCTTTATGATGTTTTGCAGCTGGGATGGATACTTTAACCAGCATCTGTTTAGAAAACTCTTCCAGAGCACAAACCCAAACAGTGAAAACAGGACTAGCTGAAAGGAACCAGTCACCTATCGTTTTGATTTTATTTTCTTCAGGTGAACATGGGGATGAGATTTAAAAATCTCACTTGATTTGTTTAACTGCTGAGAAAGGGCAAGTGGCCTCAGCTTTAGCAGCTTTTTAAAGCCAGCAAACTACCACTGCACAAAGAAAAAGTATAACCCAGCCTTCAGCTCAGATTTCCCCATTATAAAACCATCAAAAATGTAAATCAGCCATCAAGAGCTCATCTGGAAACTGCTGGTCTCAGCCACCCAACGCAACAGCTCTTGGCGCTGGACACACGGCCTCCTTTGTCCTCCGCTGTTGGCTCGATGCTGTTCTTGGCTTTGACACCTCCCGGAGGAAGTCGGTTTGCGCGCTCCTTATCAGAAATCTCAGCAGTGCCAATAACAGCCTCCAGCTGCTCAGTAACTTCTTGATGACAGACCCAGGAGAAGACAAGCGCACCGAACACACCACGGCCTCCGTCCTCGCTGAAGCCATTTGCCCAAGCAGAGCCAACGTTTGCATTTTCCGTTTCACGGAGCAGGGGCAGGATCCCCTCTCGGCTCTGCACCATCCCACTGTCACGACATCAACCCTCACCTTCCCCTACACCCACTCAAGTCCCTTCCTGCAAAAATGCAGAATATCCTCGGTGCTATCACTCTATGTGGCCCTGCAGATGTTACCTATCGAAACAGCACAGCGTGGACATTGCCCTTTGAAGAAGAATGCAAAGCATAATCTCTGATTTGAGAAGAGTACAGGTTAAGTGAGCAAACAAAAATAGCTGAGAAGAAAGCGTAGAATAGGCTGAATTTTGAGTGAAATCCAGAAGCCTCCTCTACAGATAAAACAGAAATTAAATCTGGTTTGCTCCAGTAAACTGAGTAGATATGACCTGGACGCACACAAGGGATAAATAAGTTAAATGAGGAAGCACTATTTTCAGTCAGGTTTTGGATTATGGCCAGACTTTGATGAATTGCAGCCTCAGAAAGACATTTTCTGCCTTTTGCAAAACAGACCAGTCTTCTGCAAGTGCTGCTGAGATAGTTCACAGCTCCTCTTGCGCCTGCCCAGCATCCAGCACCACCCGATCCTGGTCCCCAGCTGGACTCACGGCTACTACGGCAACACAAGAAACAGAGTTTGGGAATTTGTCTTTACTCCAGACACAAAACTAGAAAAAACCTCTTGTAGCTAATTGGGGCTGGTCGCCTGCTGCTTCTTTATTACCATATAACCTTGGAGATGAGAAGCTTTCAGATCATCAAGGTCTGGTTGTTCCTGCAGAGCTTGGCAGATTACCATTAATTAGTGGGAAAAAATGAGCAAGTTGCAGCTCTAACATGCAACTTAATGCCTCTTATTTATAGAAACCGAAGGAATTTTTAGCTGCTCTTGCTGCTGCAGGTGGGTCGCTTCCATCATGCGGGATTTCTCCAGTTTATTAAACTAAACAGGATATTTAAGTCACCCTCACTGCAAGGCTCCCATCCCGCCCTCTCCCCTAGCTGGCAGGAAATCCATGCTGACCTGACCTCACTCAGCAGTAGCTCTTCTTTCTCTCTCTCCCGTCTGGTACCTTTTAGCGTGAACACGATGGGTGCGAGGGAGTTTTCTTTCACCAACCTTTGTATTTGCAGCTGTTTGTCCCCTGTAGAGCGGTGGGTGGCTGGCACCTGAGGTTTTTCTGCTGCAGAGGGTTGCTTCGGATCAGACGGGGACAATCGAGGAGCCTGGCTTTCCTCGTTGCTTTTCACCTCAATGCGCATCACCATCTTCACATCCTGCACAAGACACAGGATACACACAAGCTCCTCATCTTACTTGGGCAGGCCAGAAAAAATACTTTATCAAAGAAAGGCTCCAGAACAAATCTTCAGTCCTGTCCAGCCAGCCTCCAGTAAAAGAAGTCCTTCTCCTTCCACACAGCCAAGAGGAAGTAATTTGGATCCTACGTGACCCAAGCTTGTCTTGGGTAGGTGAATCTCCAAGGAGAGGAAAAACAAAATCGCCTCTAAAAAACCCCCCATGTGTGCTGCTATTATTACTATAATTACAGCCTAACCACAGTGCAATTACTGTCATTTTTTTGAGAGATTTGCTTTCCATAAGCTCACTCTCCTTCACTCCAGGAGGCAGAGTAGCTGCTTCTATAATTTACTCTTGACAGATCCAGCAGGATCCAAAACAAGACCCCCCAGCCTGCCCACAGGAGCCCAGCCACCGACGCGCCGCGACCCTGCCCACAGGAGCCCAGCCACCGAATCACAAACCCTTCGGAGTCCACAGCAGTCCAAAACCTGAGGCCAGGACAGTTTCCCCATCAGGGAAGCAGAACGCACGTCTGCACGTAATTTCAAACATCACGGTTTTGAGCTTCGAAAGCAAGGGCTCCCCAAACCAAGCAGCAGGCGTGCAGAACTTACTGGGTTGCCGTTGGGCAGGCTGTTCATGGTCCGGGTGAAGCGGATCACGTGGCCGTCCCCACGTCTTGCCGGCCAGGCTGGCAGAGCCTCTGGCAGCGAATTGGCATCTTGCAGTGGGGCTGGATGAGTGAAGAGTACGTCAGCCTGTGGCCTCGGGCCGTTGTTGCCGTACGCGTTCTGGCCCTGCAGCAGAGCGCCATCCACCTGCTTCTGGATCCCAGAGACCTGTGATGCCAAGGGGTTCCCAGCAGGTCGATTCTCCTGATTGACTGGGAAAGCCTGCACGGGAGAAAGGGCGAGAGCAAACTCTAAAGGAACAAGCCCCATGCTGAAAAGCCCCAGAAGACCTGCAGAACTCCTGCCCTCCCTGGGGTTTCCAGACCATTGGACTCGATGATCTTAAAGGTCTTTTCCAACCTAAACGATTCCATGTTTCCTGGGAGAAGCACACCTTCTGCCTCACGAGCTGCAGCTGGCTGTTGGCTGGCACCACGGGCTGCTCCTTCAGCCCCTGGAACTGCTGCTGCCCCTTCCCAGCTCCTCCTCCTCCTCCTCCTTTGAAACTTGGCATCTTCTGCAGAGCTTCCTTGAGCTGCCTGAACTCTTCCATCTGGCCCTGAGGGGACGAAAAAGGTAGAGAGAAACCTCACAGAACAACAGGGTTAAACAAACACCTCCTGGCTGAGAACAGCCGCTCTTTTATGGCCAGTTGTTCAGCACAGACACGCTACCAAAGGTGTGTATTTTATACATGCGAAAGGCTGGAGATAATCCACAACCACTAATGACAAGCCCAAGCTAGTCTTCAACATTCCCTCCGGATCTCATGGATGTTCTATATTCCCCCTTTGCCAGCTTTTCGTGTTATTTTATTGCATATTTTTACCCAGGCAGTGCTGACCTAGGACACCAATTATTTGCCCAACGCTATTTAGTGCCTGAGCCATTGATATAACTCCTGCCTTTGCCTAGGAATTGTATAATCCTGGGTCTTGTTAGGCGAGGTTCCCTCTCCTCCTGTGCCTCACACACATGTACCTTCGGGTCAGCTTTTTTTGGTTCCCGTGGAGGCATTTCTCCATGGATGTGTTCACCTCACCAGGGCTGACAATAATCGGCATAATCCTACTTGACAATTCAATTTACTTTGCAAGACAAACCAAAATCGATTCTCCTGGACTGTTAAGCAAACGCAACGCTTTTCTCTCTACCGCAGCGTGTTTCTTCCGTCTCCAACCCTGAAAAGTAGGGCTTGAAAAAAGCTACTCAGGAAAAGCTCCCAACTCCTCCCTTAGTTATTTATAGGAAAGTAAGGGAGGAAGAGCTTTTCATATGCTTGCCGGGGTACCTGGAAACAGACCAAATTAGGGACTGGGCAGAGCAGGAAAGCTTCCAAGCAGCAAGGAAAGTTTAGCAGGAAATTAATTCCTGAGCGGGCTCTGCTGATTTCAGATCTTCCCCCTCAAATTCAAACTTAACCTTAAAAAAAACAAAACACAAACAAACCAAACAAAACCACTCAGCAAAGCTAACATAAAAGGAATGAGGAAAGGAAAAGGAAGCCAAGAACAGTTCATGGGATATAGCCCTGGCTAGCAGGAGACTGCTTCCAGTCAGAACGAGCCAGAGGGAAGAAAAACTTGTACCCCTGCAAAGGCTGTTAAAGGTGGTCAGCCCAGAGGGAAAGAAGCTTTAGACCCCCCTGTCACAGCAAGCTGTGCACACATGGCCCGATGCCTCCGTGCCTCCCTTCACCCGGCAGACCAACTGCTACGACAGCTACTGCAGGCTGGGCGTGTGAAACCTGTTAGAATCCGCAGAAAACAAACACGTTGCCTCGAACGCAAATAAATCCTCTAAAGTTTTGCCTACCAGAAGGAAGCAAGGTCAACCACAGGATGCTTGGCGCAAATCAACACCGAGGAACTGCAGCGCTGAAAAGCAGCTGGGAGCCCTTGTGGGTGTCTGCTCTAACGCAGGGCATCTCGCCCCGCCGAAGGGAAACGCCGTTCCATTCACCCACCGATCAGACGCTACGAGGGACTGGTCAGAAAACTGAACAGAAAGCTCCTAAGATTTAACACTCGGCTAGTTTTCAAAAAGATCCAAAGTATTTTCTGAAATCCCTAGGACCAGCCCCTGTCACTTCTGTAAGAGCCAGAAATAGCAGCCAGGCAGATGACAGGAGCACGACTTCGTTACGCGACTGTCTAGTGCCTTCGGAGCAGGGAGCTGAGCTGCGCTTCCCACATCCAGGGCAAATCTTTTTACTCTTGCTCACTCTTAATTTTGGCAAGAAAAGCCAATGAGCTGTTTCTTGCAAGCTGCTTTTCCCACTGGTGACAACCCTGAAGGGGCCACAAGTTCCTGCTCACTTGAACCACAGCGACTTGCTCAGCACACCCGTATTTTCAGCTACTGGGACAGATTCGAGGCTGGAGAATATCACTTGTACAGAACGCAGCTATGCCACCAGCACTGTTTTAAGCAGCTCTCCACACTGGAACACAGTTGATAATTAGGTTATTATTTAGAGTATATTTGATGAGGCACCTAGACCCCATTAAAAGATTGTCCCATGTGGCCACAGCCACCCCCTCGTTGACTACCTGGGCATTAAGAAGCTGGGAGTGAACTTCCTGGTGGGCTTTCCGAAGAAGCTTGCTCTCTTCTCTGAGTTTAAAGACTGTATCTGCAAAAGAAGAAGAAATTCACTTCAGAGAGCTATTTTGACAAGCGTAGTGTCTCTCCTCCTTACCATAAATTCCTCTTGACCTCACAGATCTCTTCAAGCCCAGAAATTACAGTGAAGCACTAGCTAGGGACTAACCAAATACACTGACAAACCCCAATCATCAGTCCTTTCAGCACTCAGGAGCCCAAGGAACTTCTTCATCCTCTCCGGAGTGTCTCTGCTAACTATTGCTGTCAGGGTCAGGCTCTTGCTGTCAGAATCCCTCGCTATCAGAATAAGGTATTTATTTCTTCATTTCCTTTCCCCATTGCAGCTGAAGAGCAGGGAAAGCAGCGCTTACTGCCCCAACCTGCAGTAACAGGAAGGATGAAAAACAACTACAATAGAGGTCCATCAAGTCTCTTGAACCCATAGTTCCACCTGCCAGGACAAGGATGGGAATTTTTTCCCATAGCAGCATGGTCACCGCTGCAGGCTGAATCACATGCAAGATTTCAGCTCCAGATTATAGATGTTTCTGATTACAACAGCATTTCTATTTTTATAACATTCATCCCTGGCACGGGACACTTTGCCATCGAGGTTGGGTGCCATGTTCTTGCCGCAAACCAAGAAAAGAAGGTTCTGCCTTTCCTGCAGCCAGAAGGAAATATGGAATTATGGCCCATGGGACCACGCTAGAACAGCTTTAATAGAGTTTTTACGTAAAGCACACACACAACTGTGGGTGTTGGCCTGAAGCAGTGAACAAGGGCTATGTTTCTAGGCAGCTAGTCCAAACAACAGCTACAAGAAGACTGCTACGAGCTCTGACTACAATACAGACCTTCCCCCAGGCCTTCAGAGGACCAAAGTGTGGGAGAGACACGTCCAAAAGAATCCTGCACTTCTACTGAGCCAATACTGCACTAACATCTAGGTCTGGAAAGCACATTCAGAAACTGGAAATCAAAACTCGTATGCTATTGCATGCCCTTCCTCTACCACCAGCACGGCAGACGTGGAAATTCTGGTCCCAATCACTTCATGAGGAGTTTTCGTGTTGGTGCCAACAGGGAGAAAATTTCAGCTGTAACTACAAGGGTCCTCATCTCCGGCAGAAGCTCAAAGACCAAAACTATCCCTCTGCCTTCTGAGCAGACTGTGCCCAAGTGTGATGAGGAAAGAGTACAGGATTAGCACGCAGGCTGTGCTGGGGGTGTGAAATGCAGCATAAATAGGCTGCAGTTCCTATAAAGCAGAGAAGAAAATCCAGCAGGAGAGGACCTGGAATAGAGGGAGGAGGTAAAGAGGATTAAACAGGACTCAGTTAACAAGACCAGGAAGCTTCAGCTATCTGATCGTATCCTCATCACCCATTAACCAGCACTGAAAAACCACTTCCAGAAGCAGGGATTTTCAGGAACGGGGCAGATTCCCCAACGCCATCACAGCCTGTAGGTCGCAGGGCAGAGCTGCGCTATCCCCAGATCCCAGCATCTCCCGCATGCAGACGGCTGTGTCATCCACCCCAGAGCTGCCCCAAAGCTCCAGAGCAACCAGAACCACCCGGAGGAGCTACCAAACCCAGCTCACCCTGTCAAAGCAATCCCTCGTGCTTCCCAGCGGGCTCCTGCTTTCCCCCAGCCTGGGCTGAGGGTTTCAGTTTCGCAATCGAATCTAGCGAAAAAAATCCCACAGTCCCACTTTAACAGCCCCGAGCAATGCCCACTGCTCAGATCCCTCTTCTGTCCTCCGTTCCGCTCCCTGAAAGAGGCACGTCTCCCAACACACGTCTCCTGAGAGCACATTATATATAGAAAGTACTGCTGGAACATAAGGAAAGAAAATGAGGTATTAGCAATGCCGCTAGCTCCCTGTCTTTGCCACCACTCATGAGACACTCTTGCTCCTTTGTATGGCATGGTTACTCATACTTAAGTGCAGATTTACCAGCCAGCTTAAAGCACAGGAGGGAGATGGTACCAAGTGTACAATAGCCTGGGACTGACAGAGAATATTAATCTCTCAGCCTTAAGCCAACCTTCCTGACTAGGTTCCCACTCGGAAATGTCTTTTTGATCATTATTCTCCTTCCTCTGGCAAAATTTCTTTTCTTACTTCATTGGGTGCTGCCTATTTCAAGAAGAGAGACAACCGGATATTTCGGTTTTGCTCGCTTGCGCCCAGTTCCCCACTTCTAACCCAGGAGTGCTCATCAGATACTACGACTTTGTTGATCAGAGAAACAAAACATGAGCAGATTTCACTGTCCCAGACCTAAGCTAAGTAAGAACAGATGTGGACCTTAAAACCCTCACAATCTAATTAAACATCAGACTAAACAGAACCTACTCTTGGGGAATTAAAGGGATCAGCATTGTCTGCAATACTTGCGCTATTAAATGTATTTTGTAGACCTACACCATTAATTACAAAAAGTATATTTAATTTGCTCCCAAGCTTAAATGTTAGAATTTACAGGATTCTAGCCGTATAGAAACGCATTCCCATTGTCAAAAGTGTACAGAGAAGTGGAAAATGAATATTGCAATAGACGGGGTGCCTGTAGAAGAAACCCCATCCTCTCCTGAACTCAGTTCTCCAGCCCTTTCTCTGCCGAGCTCTCCATCACACTCACCCTGCAAGTTTGTGACTTCACTGTCCTTCTCCTGCTGCAGCTGGGCGTATTTCTGGCTGTGGGTCTCCAGTGTCTTACGATGTTCCAGTTTCAAGCTGTTGTGCTGCAGCTGCAAGTCGAGCAGCTGCTTCTTGACATCTTCATGCTGGTTCTGCATACGAAAAGAGGTGTCGAAGAGTCAGTACGAGGAGAAGAGTAATTTAGCTATTGTCAAGTGCTACTCGAGTGCCTCTGTTTAATAAGTTGCTCAGGGAGGCAGAAGAAAATGTTTGTTCCTTCAGTAAGGAAGCTAGAAATCCCAGACACGTTAAAACGTTCTTTGTGTTCAGGTTCAGGAGTGATGTGAAATGCCATTCAAACTCTGCTTTGCAAAGCAGCTTGGGAGGTCTCCTTGGAAGCCACTAAACTGGAAGCAGAATGTGGTGGCAAGTCCACTTCTGCCTGAAAGAGAGAGACTCTGGGACGCAGCCAAGAACTACTCCTACTGCTTCCCAACTTCCCCTCACATCCTGCTCTGCGAGAGCAACACAGGGCTGTAATATTTGCTGCTCTCAACCCAAATGCTTGTGGAACACCGCACAAACCTGACGCCTTCTCCAGAGTCCCAACCGTGCTGAAGGACAACGTCACCTGCAAGGCCAGCTCCCACGGCGCAAGCAGCATGAGCCTGCACGCCGCGCTGCAGGAGCCGTTCTCCTCCAAGAAGGTCTAATCCCGGTTGCTGTGCCCAGGTATTGCCAGCCACTTGGCACACACAGACACCAAACATCCGTGTGGTCTTCTGCGTCGTGTGCTCCCCGACAGCCCGGCTGTTCGCCCACCCCTCCAAGCTGCTGGAACAGGAGGGAGAGCTTTTGCAAGGACTCCACACGCTCCGACAGAGCCCAGGCTGCCCGCACTCACAGCACGCCGGGACAACGAGACTCTCACGGGACCACGGACTTTCAAGCAGGCCAAGAATTCATCAGAGAAGTGGGTTGAAGAGCTATTCTCCCCTCCCCTCTTGTAGAGGCCCAGGAACAAAACCTACTGAGAAATCCTTTTGGTCAGACCCACTGAACCAGAATTCACCTCCTTTTTTGTTCCCATGGTAACCCAGAGAGTCCTTCCACACTCAGTTTGTCAACACCAATTATGTATGCAGATTGATTGCCTCACAGGTGAACCCTGGCCCTTCCACACAATAGCTCCTCAGGACTCAGGCAGCAATTTCAATCAGCTTTCCTGTAAAGGAAAAAAAATATCTCTTTTTTTTTTAAAAAAAAAAAAAAGAAGCCAAATCTCTAAAAGCTATCAGTGATTGCATTTATCCCCAGTAAAACAAAGCATCTGTGGCCCAGGCATTCTACCCTGAAGCAATTATCCTCCACTAAAAAGAGAGAAATAACTGTGCTCCAAAAATACAAAAAAAAGCTATTGGTATGGAGGGGTCCCAGAGACAGAACAAAGAAGAGAGATGAGGATGTCAGGTTAATCATATCACAAGATCAGGAGGGAAAATAAAGAGAGTAAAAGATTCCTGCTCTGGCTTTCAAAGCCCTTAAGAACTCATAGTTCTCATCACAGCCACCAGCAGAAAGCACTGCAGAGGAACCATGTTCCTAAAATCATTTTTATACTAAAAAAACACCTCAGAAGCCACCAACATGAGCAAGTGAGAATTGATTTTAACAAGAAACTCTAAGCAATTCAAGGAATTTTAAAGCCTCATCAGCTCAGGTCAATAGATTTCTAGCCCACGTTCTGCCTGGCAGGGGATGTGCATAATGTCTGTCCCCAGATCGCTCACAGCCAGGGAGAAGGGAGGGAATATCCCTGCTTTGATAGCAGCAGGAAGCTGAAGAGAGAGGTAAATCCCTTGACCAAGGTCACACAAAGCACCTGAGGCTCAGTCCACAGAGCATCCTTCCATTCAGCTGTATGATTCTATGATTCTATGAATCCAGGCCACCTCTCACCCCACCTTCCCTTGGCCGTTCTGACAACACGCGGTACCCGAGATGCACCAGCTCTACAGCAGCCCTATCTCACTGAGGTCTCTGAAAAAAACGGGCGGGGAGGGCAGGCGAAGAGAACGAAGAAGGTAAGAGTACCTCAAAACCATGTATTTCTGCCACGGTTCAGAAAGCAGCTTTGTGGACAGCATTGTACAAAACGGAATCAGCAACTGGATGCTTAGCCCGCAAAAAGCAAAAGAAAGGCACACCCCACCGCAAGTTTCCAGCAGTTTCAGGAAGTGCATGTCAAACATCTTTTGTTTCAAGCTACCCACCTCCTTGTCTGCCTATTCCGGTGAACACCAGGATGCACTCTGCACAATGACATTAGCAAAAAAATTTAATCTCAACTCAAGAGGATGAAAGGAATTGTAAGATCAAGTCTGGCCCCAGCAAGAATCCAGACACAAGCAACTCCTACAGCTGCTATTTTTGGACAAAGCCAAGCCCCTTGCCCCTTCTGAGCCTGGGGTGCCAGCTGCAGATGTTAAGTGCACACAGATGACTTCAATGCAGACCAGAACGACAGCAGTGGCCAGAAACACCAAAGCCAGACATGCTGATGTAGCTTCATGGAAGTCTTAGGTCATATTTGAGACCTCCAGCTTAATGGAGTTATTTCTGTCCAGCATTACGTGTCTCCTTCCTCAGTAATGAAATTGCTGGCAGCAGCCTCCCTCCTGAGGAAGCCAGTGGCATTGGGAAGCATTTTTTGCCTGTGCTCCAGTAATAGAAGTGTTACAGTCTCATAACGAGCTAGAAGTTGAACCAAATACTGTTTGCTTTGGGGTTTTTTTGCCTTTTTTTTTTTTTCTTTGAGTGGGGGCTGTGCTGAAATCTACCACATTGCAGTCCCAGGTGCTGGCCTGTCTCTCAGCAGCTGCAAATGTAGCTAATAAATAAATAAATAAATATTCCCCCCACCCCTAAAAAAAGGAAGCAAGAGAAAGGGAGCCAGGACGAAATGCTCTCACTGTTCCCTTGAGAAAAGCAAACCAGAGCGTTCCGCTCAGACTGCAGTTGCTATGAAGAGCGACGTTACTATTGCAAACCGTTCCCAGAATCCACAGTGCTGGATAATACCCAAGGGACAGAACTGTACTTCCCTTTTCCTGAAGTTTGAATCCAAAAGCCAGGCAGCTCGAGATCCAACTCCGCTCAGGAAATACAACCCAGTGGTGCTAAGGGATGCTGGAACCCAGCCCTCTTTCTACATCCCAGAATTAAGTTACCATTCCACTGCCAACGCTATAACTAAAAACGTTTAAAAACCACCACCGCCAGCCGCAGTTGCACTGCTCTAGCAAAATAACACCAAGATATGCCTCAGGGAGAGCATGCAATAAGCAATAAAATGCTATAAGCATCCTCCTTTCAGCCTCTTACAGAATATATTGTATTATCCCAAAGGGGAAGCTACAATGAACAGACCCGTTTTTACACTAAAAGACCCAGAAAAGAAAATGTGAGCAAGGGAGCTCCTGAATGGTAAACCGCACAACGACGAGGTGAGGGATAGGTGAAGGCTATAATCTGAGGCAAATAGAATAAAGAGGAAACTCCCATGAACCTGAATAGTCAGGAAGGAATGTAGATCAACACCCCTGTGTGGTCTCCTCCCTCTGTGCCGGCACTAGCACCTTGGTCTCTCCTTCCTAGGCGTCTCCGGCGAGCGAAAGCACCGACTCTCCTTCCAGGGAGCATTCTTTAACGCGCAGCAGATGGTGAGTACGTGAGACCAGACCTCCTCCCTTACCTTCAGTATCTTGTGCTGGGAACTGAGGGCCCCGTATCTGTTCATAGAATCTTGCTGGAAAGAAAAAAAATAAATTGAACAGTGCCATTAGATCCCAGGAAAAAACCTAAGACCTTTCCAAAGCACCTAGCCACCAGCTGACTAATTGCACTCTCTTGACTTGTAGAGTGGTTTTCCTCAGTCTTCAGTTGCTTATCTAGGACAGGCCCGGTGCTGAAAGAGCTTTGCACGGTCAATCCTCCCCCCCAAAGCAGGCTGCGCACACTTTGCAGCAGCTGAGGGGGAGGCAGACAGCAACAGAGTTAAGGTTTTCGCCTACATGCAAAAACATTGCACCATTTAACAAAAAAATTAATCACTAAGCAATTGAGTAAGCCTAAAGCAAACTCGGGTAACTAGGCAGAGCTACCAAACTAAGCTCAACTGACCCAAACCAGTAGCAGAGAAGGATTCCACAGAGGGGTCTGTGCCAGTTTAACGTCTCTTTATGCCTTGCTAAGGGTCACGTTCTTCCCCTTTGTCCCAAGGGCACCGTTCTTCGCTGGGGCCCCAGCATCTCAACACAGCCGGAGTGGAAGCCACCTGGGCTCACAGGCTGAGTCCCACCGCGGAGGCGGCACCTGAGAGGGAACACGCTGCAGCTCTGCCCATTGCACACAGTTCTACAAGGATCGGCTGGGACCTGTGTTTGGGCAGCTTAAAGCCACGTGGCTGGGACACTAAGCAGCACCATGGAAGTGCCAAATAAAATCCAAAGATTTCCACTGCAAGCCACAATTTTCACATAAATACTTGACACAATATGAAATATTACCAGCAAACGAGTACAAACTGGAAGGGAGCTGCCCACACTACAGTATTCAGATAGTCGCGAATTTTTTCTGCAGCGGGATGACATTCACTCAGATGTGGGCTAAAAGCAATTCCTCTTCTCCAGCATCTCATCAACAGATGCTCCAAGAAAGGAATAAAACTTCCAGTGACTGGGACAGACTGTAACCCAGGGATGCACTTCTTCCTAACCCTCACCCTGGCTGAAAGGTCCTTTCTCCTGCCAAACGAGGAGCCTACAGGCCAGGGAAAATCATCTGACAAGCCCTGGAGACAGAAAACAATGGATGTGCTTTCCCCAACAACACCATGGCCTTTCTTCTCCACGTTCCCTGTGGCGTGCCTCACATTCAATCTCCCCAGGACTCTTTGTAGACGAAACAACGATTCTCCTTCCAGACTGCAGCACGGGACTCCCTGCTACACCAGGAGCTGACAACCCAGTCATCTACTCTGCTATCACACATGGGAGAACAGGCAGAATAGCTCTAGAGCAAGACAGTCTTTCCCTGGGAGGAGGTAATTCCTCACACACCAACAGCCTTGCGAGGTGGAGTCAGCCAAAGTTCATCTCGTACCATGCACGCTCAGAGCCTTTCATGCCTTCCAGACAGCAGCACTGGCCTCACCACTGTGGTGGTGCTTGAAAAATCCTTATTATTATTACACACACACTCTGAGGAGTAAACCACACCTACCTTCTCCTTGTTGAGGGCTTCCTGAGCTTCTAACTTATACACTAAAAAATCTAGAAATGGAAGAAGAAAAGATAATTTAATGAGCTGGAATTTAACAAGGAACTGGTTTATACTTTGGTAGGGGGAAGGAAGAAGGAAATCAGCCCCTTGCTGAGCAAAAGGCTGCAACTCAACAAGCTGGAAAGCAGATGCTTGTTAGGAGCCCTCAGAAAGGTGACAGTATTTTCTAGGAGAGCTGTCCACCCAGCTAGAATGGCTCAAATGTCCTTAATTTTCCATTCTAGAGACAAGCACATTGGTGTCTTCCTACTTCAGCACACAAATGACCACACTTTGATGTCACTGAAGCTGTGTAAGGATTTAGGGTGCTCTGAAATGAGAGATGGCTCTGGAAAAAGAGAAATCAATGCTTCTGTGAGACCAAAAGGAAATCATCTGCTGATCTCACCTGCACCACCTTCTTCAAACGGGAAGGTCCCATGACAAGACAATGTTTATTAGGATGCTTCATTTTCTCAGTCACCAAATAAATGAAAGAAGAGGCAGAAATGCAGCTCCTTCCTTAGCTGTGCAGCCATTTAACCACAGCCAAACCTGTTCTACAGCGTTTCCAGAAACACAGTGCATGCAGGAGTGAGGAGCAGTGATGTTACTCAACATACCATTTTTGAAGATAAAAATAAAGCTATTAAGTTGCCAATAACAATCAGGTGCAGAAGGGTCTGACACGCAGTGGGCAGGACAGGTCAGTTAACTGTTCTCCAGGTACAAACCAGGGATGAGTTTCGCCTGGGGACCGTTCTATAACATTTGCAACATGGCCCTGAAGGCAAAACCCACTTTGGATACAACACACACAGCTCCTGATGGGACAGCTGGAGGGCTGGTCAGCCACTGCTGTGCCACTCACGCAAGAGACTCACCTTCCTTCGTCTTCTTGTGCTCCCCTCGCTCCTTCTGCAAGGATCGTTCTAGCCGGGATCTGTGCTCATACACAACTAGGGAAGCAGAAAGAGGAGGCAGAGCATGAGAGAAACCCTGAAATACCTTTTCACATATTCTTTTCCCTGCTGAGCTCATTGGTAAGCAACAAGCCCATCACTGCAGCTGTCCAAGTGTCTACTTCGTGACAGCTTTATTTTGAGAAACACTTTTCTCAACAGACTACTCAGATATCACCCTGAGGGCTTCCCCAGCCCAGCTAAGCACACAAGAGACTGTGGGTGCTTCTTTATTACATGTTAAAAAGCCTTGCTCAATGAAATTGTCATCGTAAGAACATCATCCACTTCCCAAAAGAGTTGTGAGCTCTGGGCACTCATGTTACTGCCACAAGCATTTTGCTTCCTTGCAGTCTTCCCTGGCAGAGCACCCGAGGACAAGCCTTTGATGTGGTGGGAACCTCACACCAGCAAATCACAGCTGCTGGGACCATCAGGGGCAAGGACCAGAGCCTTTACCATGCCCTGCCACAGACTTCGAATTTCCAGTCTGCATCTATAGCAATAGGCTTGTGCTATCACCCATAACTACAAATCCTAAATGCAAAGCACCACAAAGCAGATGAGTCTTCAGGAACAGCTCCATATCAGTCTGTTTATTCAGAAATTTAGGACACAGAATCCAGCTCTTCTGATGCTTTTTTTTACAAATTAAGCTGAAGTAAGAGTTGCAACCTTCCCTCTCATTCCCCCAGGTCTCCAGAGCCCAGAAAAGGTGGGTTCAGCTCTACGTAAAGCCGCAAGTGCCGAATGAAGGAGCCTCTCCACTCATCTGTGGTGGAGTGCAGAATAACTTAGCGGACCAAAATGGCACTGTATGGCTTCAGAGGACAGGAAGCCAGGAAGTCTTTAACAATTTGCAATTACAAGAGAGAATGGAGGGTGGTCAGTGTCTAAATGCAGGCTGGAATTCAGCCAGAACTCTGCACTAAAGCACTGTCACCTGCTGCCAAAGGAGCTAAAATGCACGACTTGAACTGCTAGAACAATGAAATCCCTTGCAGTGCCTTGCCTTTGGGAAAGAAGAACAGGTCAGGCCTTCCACAGACTCATTCCCATTTTAAAAAACCACAGAAAATGGTAATTGTGTGAAGGGTTGCCTCATACACCCCAGAGTACCAAGATAAATATCTGCCAGGGAGAGTTTAGAAGATCCATAAAGGGAGAGTGATTCCAGCCTTGCCAACAGCCCCAGGTTTTACTCTCCTGTTTGAGTGGTTTCATTGTACCCTGGTCTGGGAGAGCCACGAGCACGTGTTGGCTCCTTGCTTTCGTGGAGCGAGGCAGCAGATTTGCTGCTCTGTTCTGCTAAAGCTGCACACCATTAGTTCATTAGGCCATTAGTTCATCAGGCCATTAGTTCATTAAACCACTTCTATGCCAATAGCACATAACGTGGAAAGCCATCGCACTGCCTGGGGCTCACAGCTCCAGGCAGCTCTCAGCACACAGAGATCAGCACCAACTTCCAGACTGCACTGGGCTCCTTCCCCTCTCATAGCTCATCGCCCAGAAAAAGCTTTCTTCTCTGTTTCTCTCCTTGTTAGGGGCATCAAATACTCCTGCCAGTCTCCATCCAGCCACATCACAACTAATCACCCATGGCACCGGTCACTCAGGCTCGAGAATCATCCAGAGCAAGGGACAGGGGGAACAGAATGAAAGCCAGGCTCATCACACCTCCCTCTCTGATCCAGAGAGATGGCAAAGGAAAGACAGGCTGAGTAAAAGACACCCCACAGAGAGGACAGGAGCGCTACATTCTCCTGCTCAGGCACAGTGTGACGGCAGTCTGCTGCAAGAGAGAGAATTCCTCCATCCCAGACACCAGCTCCATGTGCCACATCGGGATTGTCAGACAGAAGTGGACGGTACTGTAAATGCACCCTTCCCTCCAGTCTGTTCAAAGAGTGTAATTTGTCAGTGAACTGAGCAAAATAACATCTCTCCAGTTTCACTCCGAAGCTCCAGGCAGCAGCATGATCCATACACACCTATGGAAAGTGGGAGGCGGCAGAGCACCACTTCACTTGGAGCCACCCGCTCCGTAACTCAGCATGGCGTGAGTCTGGGGTGGGCGCCAAGACAGAACAGATTCATCTGAAGTGCACACAGCTTGCCAGACTGCATCTCTAATCCCCTCTGAGCCTCGTGACACAGCACCAGAGTCCCCCGAATCGCAGCCTGCACTGTTTGGTAAGGTTTCTCCTTGCCTTTTCACGCAGACCTCCAGCCCCACCCAGCAGAAACAGAAGAGATGGAGGGACAGAAAAGCCAAGCAGATTTTTCCTCCTGGATTCCATCTGGACCACAACACTGGGTCCCAGCACACAGCTAAGCGCTAAGCAATATATTGCACTTGGACATAAGAAGGATAGGAAATATTTCACAGCTGAAATGAGACACCTGGAGTACAAGTTAAACGGTACCAAGTTCCACCTTGGAGTAACATGTCCTCCTTTGGTAGAGCTGGAAAGACAGAATCAGGTGCAGAAGACACAGCAATTGAAGTCACTCATGTACTAAGCGTGGGCAGGGATAGAGCCCAAAGCCCTGACTCCCCACTCTCCTGTGCTCAGTGCCAAAGCTCCGCAGGGAGCAGCGCTGTGAGACGACAGCACCAGGGCTGCAGCCGTGTGGGCCAGACACCTCTGCACTGTAAGATTTCCATGAACACGGCTCCTATCTGCCAATAGCTGGGCTTCTCTCACCAGCCAAAATCCAAAAAGAAGCTTTGCCTTTGTTAAAATTGTTGGACAAGTAAGTGTCTTCTCAAAATAAAAAGGATATATATGGCAACAACTGTATGTAGGAATGAAAGGACTTACAGAGGGTTAGAAACCCCAGCAACAGGCGACAGCTCTGCCATTCACACGTTGGGTGGAAAAACTGTTATGAGCCTGTCTCTGTCGCTTGCTTGAGCCTGCTTTTCCCAAAACTGGGGATCCCTGAGGCTACCACTGTCATCTTACTCTCTGAAGAACCAGCCCCTCTCTCTGTGAGAAGCAAGCGATGCTGACACACCAGAAAGGAATGTGGGCTAACTTCTGCCCTGCCGATCTCCACATCTTGGAAACACAGGATGCAAGTGGAAATCGCTGTGGCTGGGACTGTGCAACACATTAGGAGCTGTAGCTGAGTGAGAAGAAATGGATACAAAACCTAAGATAACAGCAGTGAACCTACACACACACTAGATCAATTCACAACACCGGTTTTTTTAAAGCATGTTTCCTTGGGAGACAACCAGAACACATACACTACATTCTGCCTTCCCAGTTTACAAGTAGAAATACACAGCCTGGAGCACAAGCAGCATACTACAATGTTAGATTTGCATCACAACACTGCACACAAAACCACCAGGAAAGGTTTAACCCTAGAAGGCACATAAACCGAGTTACAGATCTGCAGAATTCCCCAGCAGTAAAGGTTATAGAAACAGTATCACTGGATAAGTCAAAGAAGCTCATAACAGACACCCCGTATTTGATCTGGCCTGAGGAAGAGCTCTTGGTTTAAACACTAAATCCACCTGTTAGAAGAAAAAGCGTTAAATGATTCTCTTGGCCTTGAGTCACTAGGACCATGGGAAAACAGTGTTTTGGCCATATAAAATTTATTCTGCGGGTGCTCCAGAACCAACCTCTCCTCCAGCATTACACACACAGCTGCTGGCTACCAAAGAGTGGATTCCCACCAAACCTCTCTGCAGGGAGAGAGCTCAGCAAATCCCTCTAGAGACTCCAAATCAAGAGACAGGTGCTGAAGTGTAGCTTTGGCAGATGCAGTAAGGCTAGAATGACGGACTAGACAAAGAACGTAAGAGTTCAGTAATGGAGTAACACATGTCCTCAGCCCTCCCTGCTGAGATCTTTCCATGGGCTAAAATGCAGACGTTTAGGTACGACAAACGAGATGGGAAAAGGGAGAGGGAATGTATATATTATTCTTGTCTTCTGGCAGCTCTTGCCAGAGGAACCAAGTGTTGGCCAGGGGGCTCAAAAAAGCCAGTTCTTCCTCCTCCTCCCCTATTTTTTAGGGAGCTCTGAGCTGCAGCATCTATCAGCCCCAAACTGAGACTGGTGAGACTTTTCTAGTCACAGTTCAGTCTCTTGAGAAGAAGACAGGTTTGTTTCCTTGCAAAGGCAACGGGCTTTAGACAGCAGGATAACAAACTTTACGAAAAGACCTCTTGCCTCTTGATCCACTTTCTGAACAGATGCTCCTGCAGGCTAGAGAGCGGGGCCCCATCTCAGAGCCTGCCCAAATAGCCTCTGTAAATCCTCTTTTGCATTTTTACTGCTTCACACTTAGAATGATACAGGACTAGTCTTTCCAGCCAAAGGGAACTACAGGGAGAAGAAATGGCATAGATGTGACGCAGCTGAACTCACCAATCCAGCACACTCTGTTCCCCTCGCTGCTGTGAGCTGCGATTCAGATTCAAGGCAATTCTAATTCTAGACAGCAAAGAGGGGGAAGGAAACTGGCAACACCTTCTTAGAGCTCTTTAAAGCCAAAAGCTGAACACTCTGCCACAAAGGCACCCTGCTTGTCGCTGGGCTGTGCGGTAAAACCACCGGCAGGTCATGCTGGGAGGGAGGGAAGTTCCCACCCTGTGTGTGCACACAAACAGAGCAGGTCACTCACCTTGGAGCTGGGCAGAGAGCGCTTCCTGCTGCTGCTTGTATTTCTGGGCCAGGGCTTCAGCGTTCCGCACCTTTTGCTGCAAGTGGTTGTACATAAAAACTCCCGAGCCCAAACACGCCACGGTCA